AATGTAAATCTGACTCTTTTTTTTTGTAGGTTTTGTTTTGTTTTTAATTTGCATGATCAATTGTAATATCAAAGTAATTTTATGGAATACCTAAAGTGTTTTAAAAGTATGTTTGTCATGTGTGCCTTAATTACATTTTGTGTATAAAATTTAATTCACACACAGTACAAAATACAAGGTATTTTAGTGCCTCCTCTCATCCTGCAACGTATCTTCTTCTCTGTCTGCTGCTTTTGCCTTCTGCTTCAAACTGCCCTTGCAAACAAACCTACATCCATTCTTCCTGTGTCACTGTAAAACAGACAGAAACAACCACAGTTAACCACGATCAATTGCCTCCCTCAGAAATTCTTAGGCTGTGTTAGCCCTTTGTCTAGCTATTGCGTTTTCATTTAAAATTAGGTTCTTTTAATTATGTAATAGCAGTTAATGGTTGTACCCGATGATTTTACAGGTCTTTTCCAACACAAATGACTGTACAGTTGCAGGATTCTATGATTTTTTTGAATGTGGCTTAATCTCTGACACAAATAGAGCAGTCTTGACAGTATTTGTGGCAAGATAATGTATGAATCAATATAAATGAAAAAAAACCCACATGCTGCATATATAGATATTTAACTTTTATGCTTTCAACTGTCATAGGTATTACCTAACAGTAAGAAAATTAACAAAAAAAAAGGCAAATTTTTTTCCACAATTGATAATAAAGGTATTGATTTTATATCCTGCACAGCTCTCAAAATTACATTTTTATCTTTTCTAAGAAGCAGACTGATTATGGCTGTGCCTAAGGCAGCTATTGTGAAACAGTTGTATGTTCTCTTTCCTGTGTCATACTTACAATTTATAGACTCTGTTATTTGAAATTTACACCAGATTTCAAATTGAGGCTTCTCATCCTAAACATCCACAGGTCAACAGATGTTCTGAAGCAATCTGTTGGAACAATATCTAGAATTTTTCTTGAAAAAAAAAAAAAAAAAAGCTGATAGCACCTGATATCTGCATTTCTTCCATGTTTCTGATCACCTTCTTGAGATTAAAAAAATACCTTTAATTTGACTTTTTTCTTGTTTTATTTCCCTGATTGGCTAAACACGAGACAAGACTCCTTTCTAAAGCACTGGAGCAGAAAGATGTTTGGAAAAAGTTCAGCAATTTTTTTGGGCAGCGTCTTCAGGTAATTGCTTTTCCCAAAAGATGCACTGTTAAGAGTACCACTGGCTGCTTCTCTGTAAAAGGCTTGGAAAGGCAAACATCCTAAGAGGAATGAGAAAAGGAGGCCTGCTTGCCTTCTAACAAAATTCTGAATTCATCTCCTGAATTTTTCTCACTTGGTTGACATTAAGAGTTTCCTTGCCTTGCATGTTCTTCAGTTCTTTTTTTTCCTTATTGCTCACTCTGTGATGTATAAGTCCTTCCTTTCTTCTCCCCTACTTGGTCTCAGTGGACAATTAAATGTTTAGTGTAGCTTTGGGGAAAAAAGTCTTATCTGGAAGCAAGAATCCTCGTAATTTATGACAACTGTCAAAACTTCAGGCACAGTGGTTTTAAAAGTCTTTGCTGATGAAAGCTCTCACTTACAGTAAGGTCTGACCTGTGTGAGTGGTACAGCGCGTTTTTGAGCTTTGCTTCCATGCCTGGGTGGTACTGCAAATCAGAGGCTTCTGAGTATAGGTATGATGACTTGTGCCGAGGGACTAGGCTTGCACCATTTATGGACAAATTCTGGCTTACTGCAAAATGTTAAACCTCATAGAATTCCAGACAAAAAGTATTTCTGTGACATCAATTGTCATATTAAGAAACTGAACACCTTTTTTTGAACTTCTTTTTTTTTTTTTAATAAGGACTTACTTTTGCACATAATTTATGGCTGTTGTAAGATGTTAGGTAGGACACATGCCTAGATATTTGTGGTCAAAGCTAGATGTGTTCATCTCATATCAATGGGATGATAGGAACAGTGTGAGGGCCACGCCTTATTGCTTTACTCTGTAATTCCTCACTTGCCTGAGCCAGAGTCTACTGTAGTGGAATGACTGGATCACTGCAGCCATGGGTATTTAGAACTGTGAGGTGAAGATGATTCTTTGCCATAAATACAGTTAAATGGATGAGGAAAAGTACTTTGTTTTTTGATAGGTGTTTCTTCTTGCTACACTTCCAGTGGGGATGTGTTGCTAGTTTAATGATGGATTGTGCTTCAAGCCACCTGTCAGTGAACAGATGCGCAGGGAATTCACTCAATTTTATTTCTAAAGCTGAAACTCCGTTTTTCTTGTCCTCAAACATTTCATGATTGCAGTCGGCAGCCCCTAGGAATTCTGGAATTAGGAATGGATACTTTAGTAGCTTTGGTGCAGTTCTAGTTGCTGTTTCCCTAAATATTCTGTACTAAGCAGTTTGTACTATTTTTAATACATTTAATGCATTTTAATGCAGTTTTCTGCCATGGCCTTCAGATCTAATCTTAAAAGCTTCCTCTTAAATGTTGACATTGGAAAGAAGTTACTGTACTGGTGGTCCTGGTACAGGTGGCTACAATTTCTCTGCTCCTATTTATGTTCCAATGCATGGCTAAATTCCAGTTTTTAAATGCAGTCTGTAAAGTAAATTTGGTCTTGATTTCAGAATCCATTTAAAGTGAAAGATACATACAGTGAATTAGATATCAGACCTTAAAATATTCACCGTGAAAGCTGCCTGACTTCTTCATGTTTGGATGTTAATGTCAAGGGTAAAAAAAGCCCAACAAAACAGTATGGTGTCCCACTGAAGAATGACTCAGGACTTTCACCGAGAGTCATAAGACAGCCATGAATTTCCCCATCTGTTTTATCTATTGGGCCTCAAACAAAGGAGGACGTGACAAGATTCTGACAAGAACTTCATGGTTAGAGAATTCACCTGTAATTTAGGATTCAAATCATAAAATCCCACATGTGCTTGAGGGGACTTGAGGACTGGGTCATGTCTTTCACTACAGTGTCCTAAATTCCAAATAATGGGACACTTAATGGTTGGCATTCTCTCAACATCTACTGCTGAAGTCATTACAGGTCACATGAAAAAAAATTGCATATTTATTTTAGAGTGAAAATAGAATGGGTATTTTGGTGGAAAGGTTATGTGGGAAGCTTATTCAATAACGGGGGAGAGTTTGCTTCTGTTTTATGTTTCAGTTAATTTTAAACGTTTCAATAGAAAACATAGTAAAAGCAACTGATAAGATGGAAGAATCCATCTCGATCCCCAGAATAATTTATAGCTGTGTGACTGGGCTTGAATGTTGGAAAAATGACCCGTCAGGAAAGAGAAAGATTTAAAAGTAACTCAGATCAGTGGAAATTGTTTTAGCCACTAGGGCATTATGCCAGACAATAACCCACAGCAATCAAATTGGTTCGTGTACCTTGAGCAGTGATGCTTTCCTGAACTGGCGTCTTTCTTTGATCTTAAAAATGCTCTGCGCATACATAAAATATTTCATGATAGCCATAAGGAATCTTAGTTCTTTAAATCATTTTGGTTTAGTGCAAAATTATTGATCCCAAGCTAGGAAATAAGGATAGAGCTGTGTTTCCTCTTTTCCTTTACTTCCTCCTTCCATGTTGTTGAAAATATTTTGAGCTAGACAAACAGCTGCACTGAGCCCCTAATGGCTGAATGCACAAAGCAGCCTCATCCAGGCACACAAGTTGTCAGGACAAGATAGGATGAGTTCCAGACACTGAAGCTCTTATAAGTGTCAAACTCCTGATAAGTGATTTCAGTGCCTGATCCTGCTGCATATGAAGTGACGCTTTAATTTGCAATTGAATGACAAAGTCCTCAAGTCATCCTTATCTCTCGAGTAATTGAAGTAAGACTGCAGTGTAGAAACTCATTATGATTATTCTGTGTCATTTTTCAACTTTGGAAAGGAATTTTTATCATTACATTGCTCTCTGGCATATTTTTATTAGCACTGAGCTGCAAAATGAGGCTCACACCTAGATTATATGCTTATATTTACAGATGAAATTGAAGATTAAAAAGAGAATGCATATTGCATCTGTGCTAATTCTTCAGAGCCTCTCTGCCTTTGATCTTTGCACTTTACAATAGTTTCTTTCAAACTCTTGTGAGAAAATAAAATATAACCATTTTTTGTGTTATTTGTTGCTGTCCATACTAGAGCAAGAGATGGTTTTATAGTTATTTTACGAGTGAAGATTGATCTAATGAAACAATTAGAGTAAGTTAAGATAAAATCCAATATCAGAAACTTCAAAATGGGAGACAAAATATTTTCTACTGTCTGATGTGCTTCTCTCTGTATCCTGGAGCTGGAGAATGGTAATTTTTGGAGCACTTTCTGCCCTGTTAGAACTTGAAAGCAGAGCTGGAAGCCTTTCAAGAGATGTTTTTCTCTCTTTTGGGAGTTTGCAGAAGGGGCACTGGACACTGAGTAGATTAGGAACTAGCTGGCAGCTGTTACCAAATCATCTGCATATGCAGTGGGCTAGATCCACTGATAGTCTATGAGTACTTTATTTCCCTTTGCCTAAGAGAGGGAGCATTGCTCTTTTTTTCCCTACAGTGCTGAGAAAGTAAGACGTACCAGCATGTTCTCTGCATTATTTGTGATGCCATTTAACAAATTACCTTAGGAATATAGCACACAGAGAAATAAGACTCACAAGGAATGAGGAGAAAGGTGAAAAAGCATCAGGGCCAGGAGGGTTCTGATGTCTTTCTTCTGTAATGGAGGTATAATGGTGATGCTCCATGTCCTGATGCTCCTCAAGTCTCATCCTGTGGTTGGATGCATCAAAGGATGAGTTTAAATAAGAACCTGTTGGCAATGGAAGCACATAAACCACTATGAGTCTCTGGATTGTGAGCTGCAAAACAAGTGGAACAGATCCCAAGCTGAGCTCTGTAGCTCTGGGATGGAAAAAAAAAGGATAAATTGGCTCTAAGCTGACCTCTTATTTTTTATCTCTTTCTAGAACTGGCCATTGTCCTATCTCTTGCACAAGATGTTTATGCTGGCCTCAGCTCTGAGATTGCTGAATCCCATATATGTGCCAGGTGAGCCCTCTTTCCCTTTGCTGGAATTTTTCCTTGTGGGAAAAACAATAGTAGGTCTTTACTTTAGTTATAGTGATAAATTTTGTACAGAAATTAGTGTCCTGACTTTTTGCTGCTACTTACAACTACCTATGATCAATTTACAGCACACTGTATTGCTTTCTGACCTTAAGGGTGTCATAATGCAGCTTCTCCACATTTCTTAGAAGATTTGGTCTGCAAGTCATCCCCTATTCCTGGATTCTGGAGTGTATAAGAAAGAGTTGTTTTGGTTGCTGTTGAGACTGGGGTTTTCTCCTTTGCAGGAGCTTCTTTCTGGCTGAATGCAATATTTTCACGTCTGAGCTCTATTTGCCCTGGAACACGAAAGAATGAACCTTAGCTGTCCTGTCTGTGACCCCTCCCAGCTTCTTGTGCACCCTCAAGCTGCTCAGTGGTGGGGTGGTGTGAAGAACAGAAAAGGCCTTGGTTCTGTGTAAGCACTGCCCAGCAATAATGAAAACACCCCTGTGTTATCAACACTGTTTCCAGCACAAATCCAAAACATAGCGCCATATTAGCTGCTATGAAGAAAATTAACTTTACCCAGCAAAACCATCATAAAACCAGATGACCCATGCAATTATATGCTTAAGTTTGGAGAACGTGTTGCACAAATCTTTAGCTCATGACTATAGGGCAGAGATAAATGTCAGCAACATCAAATGATGGAAATGAATCTAGTGAGAAATTAACTTAGAAGTTGCCACTGTTGTAATGTCTTGTTCCCAAGGTAAATGGGACAGAAGACAGAGCCTCTCCCTTCTGCAGCAATGATAATGTTAAAAGGCTGATTATCTGTCCTCAGATCAGCTCTTTTGGGGAAAGACCATGTTCTCCATGACTATCTGGTGCTGTTTTCTGGCATGACAGAGGGTCATTCTGACCTAGGTACACCCACTGCTGACAAAGTTAATAAAGCAGCTGAAGTTTATGACTTGGTATTACTTTATTTTTGGGAAGTCTTTGCCTCCAGAGGCACTGATTTGGGTTGAATTTGTAGGACATGGCCCAAGTTAGTGAGCAAAACTTCAGGGATTTGGCCTAATTACAAAGGTGTTTTCAGCCTGGGTGCTCTAAATGAAGCTCTGCTAGAGCATACTTCTTGCAGGGGATTCCCTGGGAGACTCTATCCCTGTGCAAGTCATCCACATTATATGCCTTAGAATGAACAATCTGACCACTTTTACAAATATGCTATAAAGAGAGCTGAATGTGACTGGGGATTGTTATACCTCCTCTGAGCAGAAAGACAGTTTATACATCCTACCGGAATTTGTTACAAAGTGGCACAACAACATGCGGAGACTGCAGAAGGAGAGCACATAGCAACTGGTCCTTTGGATAACAAGTTTCTCCCATTTTGCATCATCAAAAATGAATAGGATGGCTGGACAGCACTGAACTCCAGCCAGCCCCTACCTTACTCTTGTTCAGTTTTAAAACAGTTACCTTCATGCTCCATCACATTCCCCCTTTCAGCATCTCAGAAACATCTGCAACCTGTTTTATTGCCGTTTTCCAAATCTCCTTAGAGCACTGCCTTTCCCAATGCCTGTATAACATGATGATGGTTAAGCTTCTACTGTGCTGATAGCTCCAACTATCATCTTAACTGACAGCACTACTTGCATTTCCCATCTGACTATATCTGCCAGTTGTAGATTACACTCTTTAACTCAGTGATAATTATTTTTTGTCCTGTGTTCGGAGAACTTCTCCAGCCAACAATAAGATGCTGTAGTGATAGAAATACTTTGGTGCTTGAGATACACCAGATTCAGCTTGTTTTGAACACCAAGAAGAATTAGAGTTAAGCAAGTACAAATGCAGTCAAAACATCATTTGTTTTAAATGCATTTAGGCAGAAATATAATGCGAGCAATTAGTTCCAAAGACACAAAGATAAAAGAAATTTTACCTGTTTAATAAAACGTTTTAGAATAGTGATAAGAAATATTCAATCTCCGTATATTTTTCTAAATTTCAGGAAAAGAAATCAAACAATATAATTAAACCCAATATTTTACCCAATTGCAAAAATGGCATATTCCAGAAACCAGGCTTTGTAATATCAGCCTGTGCTACTCAGATGCTGAATTATACCCTCCCTTGCAGCAGGCAGAGCCCCAAGAAGTTAGGCAGGCTGACCTCCTTCAGCAAGAGACTAGCTGTGCATCTCCAAGAAGGAATGTATCTTCTGGCAAGAAGAGCAAATTCTATTCTCTGGTGAAACTATAACTGATTTCTCAGTTTGCAGGAACAACAAAGTGCCTCAAGTACCTTTTACACAATAAATATTACAGAATTACAGTAACAAATTCTGATGACTGCAACAAAAAAGAGGAAAGCTTACAATCAAAACTGCAAAGAAAGAGTTTCAGTGAAAATAAAGTATATGCTCCTGTAGTACAGAATGGGTCTGTAGGCATGCTTACGTTCAAAATGCAATAGACAGTGACATAGATTTCAATAAAATTTAAGTTACCCTATCTAGTTTTCTATTTTCTCAATGTGCAAAAAAGGAGTATGTGTACAAAGTATGAGAGCCTGGTCTGATTTACAGCAGTGTAAGTTAAAAAGGATCCCAGACCAAGTCCGAAACAACATAGGAATCATAGAATTTCTCCAAAGAAAAATGTCTTCAGGGTTGCAGTTAATAATAGCTAAACATCAGAGCAATTATTTAAACCATAGTCAAGCTTAGACATCAGTTTAGATCTTGGTCACTCTCTACTACACACTCATAAAATACACACTCAGAAACAGTCACTAGTCCAAAAAGAAAAAGGGAGACCATTGGTGAGGTGGCTGGCTGAAGGTGTGCCAGCACAGCCTGATACTGCAGAGCTGGGAGTAAGCCCCAGGACAGCCTAGGACCTGGCTAATGTGCTTGCTGCTGCAGTTTGCCAACCCCAGCTTTGTTATATCACAGCTTTCTACTTTCAGCTGAAAATCACAGAAAATCAAGAGTTTTCTAGCTTTCCTGCTAGTATTCCCAGCTGGAAATAGTATTCTCTGTTTTTTATTTTTTTTCTCTTTTAAAAGCATTATTTTGATATTTTTTTTCTTTCAAGAGTAGCTGGCTTTTGGAAGTACAGAGTTTTGCAGCAATAACAAATAACCAGAAGAATATCAGTTAAAACAACATTTCTGACCCTTCAGAAAAGTTTGGTTCAGGTGTTTAATGCAAGGCCCAGCGGAAACCCTGCTGCTTGTACACACATGACACACATTTTGAGCACAGATGGCTGCATGTTTTCCTGCATAGCTGTACTGCCATAAGTAACCCTTTCCATAATGTTGTAAGAGGCAGGAAGAGAAAGACTGGACATAGTCCTAAAATATAACCTACTCCATTTATTTCAATGCCTTCAGGGAACGATTTCTTCAGTGGGCATAAGAGAGAGAGGAGTAGTTCCTTTCTCTTACATGGAAGTTCTTTCCACTTCACCTTTCCCCCGAACAGTAAATCCCAGCAATACCAATGATTAAAAAGGCGATATGAACAGATGGACTTTTCTAATTGCTGTCCTGCTGCAGCTTATTAAAATAGTAAGACACTTTATTTATGTAGCACCTGCCTATGAAATCATCCTAGACTTTAAACACAGAGAAAAGTAGATGATAAAAATAAATATGCACAAGAGGAAAACAGAAATCATTAAACATAACTCAAAATATTAAACACAACCAGTGTGCCTTGAAAGCCGCACTATGATTAAAATAATCCCATAAAGCTAACTTCCTAAAAAAGCCTTTTCCAAGTACCTTTTCAAGTCCCAGGAGAAAAACCTTATCCAGTGCACCAAAGACACAAGAACAAACATACAGACACTTGTCAGCTTTTGCAGTGTTAACGCAACACATTTTTAAGCTCTCAGAGGAAAAGACCCTGTGACTGTTATTTACATTACTTTAGTGCCTAGGAGGTAGGAGCAGCCAGGGCTAGATCTCCATTAAACTAACCACTGTGCTCATATAACACACAGCAAGAGGCAAGGAACAAGCCCCATGCTGGGAGGGAACCACTCCTGCCATCCCACCAAGTCTTTTGCCTGAACAGTGGCAGCTCGCAACTTCACATCCAGAAGTCCTTCCTTTCATTTCATTAATGGGGAACCTTTTCTCACAGTCAGAAATGGCTATTGCAAAGAGTAAAAACCCATGTCACAGGTAATTTGCAAGCCCTATAAAGGTGGAAGGGAAGGGAAACCAGAGAGACAGGAGGTTACTTTCACAAATTCAGTCTCCAAGGCAGTGCCAAAGATAGAAATAAAAGTGAAATCCCCCATGCCTAAGCTTAAATCTCTCTTCCTGGCACCTGACAAGAGCTATGACAGCTGATTGTAAATATGAGAGCACAACTTGGGAATCAAGCTGATACTAAACTACTTGACCCATGAGGAAAATCTTGATGTAACACATAATTGTAGTGGTAGCCAAAAAAGTGAATCCAGAGAAGAATTTCATATTCCCTTCTCAGGCTGCATAATTGTAATTCTATGATTCCACCCTATAATAATTACTGCATTTTGGACAAGATGGCCTGAAGTAGTTCAGGAAAACCATGTTGTTACAGTCTGACCTTGAGCTCATTCAAATGAGCATCCTATGAATATACAACATAAAAAGTGACAGCCAAGCAGTCTTCTTGAGAGGGGAAACCCCAGATGTGGACACAAAGCTCACTGAGATTAAATCTTGGTCCTTTTGAAGTCATCAGTATTTTCTTTCTCTATATTTTCCATAACATCATCTCCTACACAGGAAACAGCCTGGATTTCTCCTGTAGACTGGATAGTAGATCTTGTGCTGTACAGAAGTCACTTAGAGGCAAGCAGTCAGCTGAGGAGGCACCTTCATCGCCCAGCCCCATTGTCAACACAGGCAGGTGTGCAACAGCACAGAATGTTGAAGCACTGGTATAGGTCCAATTGCCTCTTTTAGAAGCCCCTTAAAATATAACTGAGAACATTAAGTATTGCAGCTAATTAAATAGAAATAGGTTTCTGGATACATTATCACACAAAAAGCAAAATGATTTCTTCTTACATTATGTATTATTGAAAATTTATGTATGTTTCTGGCCTATACCAAGCATCTATTGAAAACTAATTGCCTCAAGTTCCTTCCCCAGTCCTTCCACTGGCCAAACCCGTCACTTCTGAATGACCCAGCTTTTGACAACACAAGTGGAACCTGGGGAATTACAGACCAGTCAGTCTCACCTCTGTGCCACGTAAAAACTCTGAGCAGATTCTCCTGGAAGGCATGCTAAGGAACATGAAAAACAACAAGGTGCTTGGTGACAGCCAGCATGGCTTCACTAAGGGGAAATCCTGCCTGACCAATTTGGTGGCCTTCTATGATGGGGCTACAGACCTGATGGACAGCAGTAGAGCAGTTGATGTCATCTACCTGGACTTGAGCAAAGCATTCGACACTGTCCCACACAACATCCTTGTCTCTAAATTAGAGACATCAATTTGATGGATGGACCACTCAGTGGATAAAGAACTGGCTGGATGACCACATGCAAAGAGTTGTGGTCAATGGCTCAATGTCCGGCTGGAGACCAGTAACAAGTGGTGTCCTTCAGGGATCGGTGTTGGGACCGGTCTTGTTCAACATCTTTGTCACTGACATGGACAGTGGGATTGAGTGCGCCCTCAACAAGTTTGCCGATGACACCAAGCTGTGTGGTTCGGTTGATACGCTGGAGGGAAGGAATGCCATCCAGAGGGACCTCGACACACTTGTGAGGTGAGCTGATGCCAACCTCATGAAGTTTAACCATGGCAAGTGCAAGGTCCTACACCTGGGTCAGAGCAATCCCAGGCACAGCTACAGGTTGGGCAGAGAAGAGATTCAGAGCAGCCCTGAAGAGAAGGACTTGGGGGTGTTGGTTGATGAGAAAATGAACTTGAGCAGGCAGTGTGCGCTCGCAGCCCAGAAAGCCAACTGTATCCTGGGCTGCATCAAAAGGAGCATGACCAACAGGTCGAAGGAGGTGATCCTGCCCCTCTGCTCTCGTGAGACCTCACTTGGAGTATCTTGTGCAGTTCTGGTGTCCTCAACATAAAAAGGACATGGAACTGTTGGAACAAGTCCAGAGAAGGGCCAGGAGGATGATGAGGGGACTGGAGCACCTCCCATATGAAGACAGGCTGAGGAAGTTGGGGCTGTTCAGCCTGGAGAAGAGAAGGCTGCGTGGAGACCTCATAGCAGCCTTCCAGTATCTGAAGGGGGGCCTATAGGGATGCTGGGAAGGGACTCTTCATTACAGACTGTAGCAACAGGACAAGGGGTAACAGCTTAAAACTTAAACAGGGGAAGTTTAGATTGGATATAAGGAAGAAATTCTTTCCTGTTAAGGTGGTGAGGCACTAGAATGGGTTGCCCAGGGAGGTTGTGAATGCTCCATCCCTGGCGGTGTTCAAAGCCAAGTTGGATGAAGCCTTGGGTGAGATTATTTAGTGTGAAGTGTACCTGCCCATGGCAGAGGGGCTGGAACTAGATGATCTTAAGGTCCTTTCCACCCCTAATTATTCTATGATTCTAAATGAATAGAACTGCAACTTGTCATTCCCAGTCCTGTGGTAAAGCAAATGAGTGGAAGATCGCTGCCTAGTATCAACAGTATGAGGGGCCAAATTTTAGCAAGACATCTTTAAATGTCAGTGCTGGGGTAAAAAATGAAATGTATTGACGCTACCAGTGACCCTATGATCTCTATCCAGAGCTGAAGCAGGGCCTCATGAGAGCTCCCTGACAGATTTAGGCATCTCTAACTTGCTCTGATGAGGAACACTCCAGAACAAACATGATGAGAGCAGAACCACTCAGTGGCAGCACTGATGCCTGGTGAAATCACCATACCAGAGGCAACTGAAGTCTGAAAATACTGACAAGGGCTCTTCTGACCTTCTGTGATAAGAAAGCCATTACTGAGTGACAAGTGGAGTCTATGACTTGACTGAAGCTGGATTGAAATTCTCAGTATAAATCAATGCTCCTTATACACAAACACGAATCTGGAGACACAGCAAGGCACCTGTATTTCACCAGTTTTGCAGCTTTCAGATCACTATCCCTGAGTGAAACAGAGTTCATAAAAGTGAACAAATTGGTCAAGTTCTATGTATTATACCTCCACTGGCATGTTTGATTTTTAAAATCCACATCTTTTCAGAAATAATTTTGTAATTTGAGGCAACAGTTCCTTGCTGTTTATACTACCATAGCAATTAGTATGCATGAGGCAGCTCACAGCCTCAGAAACATATGAAAAGATGGATAAAAAATAGAAATAAATATAGAAAAAAGACAGTGAAAATCAATTAGGAAAAGAAGTGTTCTGTAGCCTCATCAAAACATCAGAGGAGCTGTGAAAGAGAAGATAGTGGTGAAGCAGTAGAAATGGAGTGGAAAGTTGTTGTTACACACCTGTGATGTATATAGCTAAGTTAGTTTAATGTACATAATTTGATTTCTACACTTTCAAGCTTCCTTGAGTGTATTCTGTGGAAAATGGTTATTTTGTAGCAGCAAGGCATCTTACGGGTGTCCTCGTTTAAGCCCAGATGGCAACTCAGAACCATGCAGCTTCCTTCCTTCCTTCCTTCCATTCTTTTTTTCCCCTTCCTTCCTTCCTTTCTTTTTCTTTCTTTTTTCTTTTGTTTCTTTCTTTTTTTCTTTCCTTTCTTTCTTTCTTTTCTTTCTTTTTTCTTTTGTTTCTTTCTTTTTTCTTTCCTTTCTTTCTTTCTTTTTCTTTTTCTTTCTTTCTTTCCTTTCTTTCTTTTATTTTCTTTCTTCTTTCTTTCTTTCCTTTCTTCTTTCTTTCTTTCTCTTTCTTTGCCTTTCTTTCTTCTTTCTTTCTTTTTCTCTTTCTTTCTTTCTTTCTTTCTTTCTTTTTTCTTTTCTTTCTTTCTTTTTCTTTCTTTTTTCTTTTGCCTTTCTTTCTTTCCTTTTTCTTTCTTTTTTTCTTTTCTTTCTTTCTTTCTTTCTTTCTCTTTCTCCCTTCCCTTCCCTTCCCTTCCCTTCCCTTCCCTTCCCTTCCCTTCCCTTCCCTTCCCTTCCCTTCCCTTCCCTTCCCTTCCCTTCCCTTCCCTTCCCTTCCCTTCCCTTTTTTCTCTTGATCAAAACTAAAACTCATTTAGTTTGAAAGGGAGGGCTTATTGCTGTGACTGGAAAAACAATGTTGTGTGTTAGATCTTTCCCTGGGCACCTTTACACATAAGGCTCATCTAGCATTATTCAGCATGTCACAGGGACAAACAGTTACTTCCAGATAACAATCTGCCATGTTCTTCTCACAAACAGTATTGTGTTTTGGAGGCTTTGGAAGCCAAATTTAGCAGTATTCCAGAGTATGTTTAACAAAATGTAACTATAGCAACTAAACCTTCACCACCAGATGATAACACAATTTGGTTTTAAATGAAACAAAAAACTCCCACAAAACATCTCCCCCTCTTGGTCCAACACTTACACATGCTACACAGCATATTGTCTACAAGCTGGCTACCTGCATTATTAGATATTTAGATTTAAAAATACACCTGAACAAGGCAAATAGGTGTTGTTACTTAGAAGAAAAGGAGTGTTGTGGCTTTTCATAGAACCTATGCCTCACCAGCTTTATGTGTGTCACTGCAGTGGCCGTTCTGCTTGCGATTGCTTTTTATTTTGTATTTCCCAGGTGCCACACGGTGGTGCTCCTGACTCCCCATCACTCAGAGGCCTGAGAGGAATTACAGTGTTTGTATCAAAACTGGTTTGGGAGAGAAGGCTAGCACTCAGCTCTGCAATGAAGGTGAGTCATGCTATGGGACGAGGGAAGTACTTTTCACCCAGGACTTGGCTACTAAGTTAGATATGGGAAGAAAGAGTTGAATAGTGACAGCTGGTAAAAATCCTCAGTATTATGCATGTATGCACACATATACACACATTCAACCTCTTTTACACTTGATTACTATGTGAATTTTGGATGTCAGCTTTCTTTTTGGTAGCTACCACGCCTTCCCATTTTCTCTCTTTGATCACGAGAAGATTCATGTAGGCTCACAGCTCAGCATCCTCCTGGGAGCAAGGACAGCATACTTTTGTCTAGGTCTATGAAAAAAATGCAGAAAAGCAAAGCAGAGAGAGGAGAGATGCACCACTTTCTCCATCTAAGGAGGGGCCAGTATAGAATCAGGAGTTGCCTTGGTGGCCCCAGGGAGGATCCCCAAACTGGAGGGCAGCCAGCAGTGGTGTTGGCCTGGTGTCAATTGAAAGATGTGTAAGGAAAGCTCTGTATCTAAATAGACATCCTCATCTGTATGAAGCCCATACATAGCTCACTGAAACAAACAGGAATGATTTCATTGCCTTGTGTGTACTTTGAATCTGGTCCTGTAAACTGTAGTGTCCTGCCAATTAAAGTTTAGCTGGAAGTGTTTAGGAATTCACTTCACCTCCCATTGCGGGTCTCTGATAGCGTTACAGAAACTTGGATCAGGCATTTAGATATTTATGTGAGTCTTGCTTTTAAATTGTGGGAAGCCATCTTTTTGATCAATCCTTAAAAAAATGATTGAATGCATGATCTACTTGTGTTCTGCTTTCATTATTTTGTGAAAGTTTAATTCAATTTATATAGTGTAGTGCACTGATGTGTGATCTGAAAGAGGAGCTCTAGTGAAGTACATGTATATGCTACAGTATGAACATTTTAGGTAGCCATGTTGTCTATACAAACACTGTATTCTGAAATGTGTTATTAATAGCATAACTTTTTAAAGGTTTGTCTTTTCTATCTTTGCATGTCTTTGTATTATTTATATAATTTATGTAAATGTTCTATAAAGCCATAACCTGACTGTTGGAGAAAATGAATATGTTTTTAAAAATACTTTGTGTTCAAATTATGGACAAATCTAATAGCCTTTTGAAATGTGATCCCCTGCATCTGAGGAAGTTACTGACAGATCAAGAACTAAGTTAAGCAGAATTCTTTAATTTGGAGAATCACTTACAATTATACTTAATAATAATAAAGTAGTGAAGTTTACAGATGGAAGCTGGTCTTGAGTAAAAAACAAGACATTACCAGACATCGCCAGGAAGCACCTGTCTACAGTCTATAAATGGACTGAGGGATAAAAGAGGAAGCATTAACCCTGCACATGTCTGACTAGTAACAGCTTTGCACTTCAAGTGCAATGTTACATCTCAAAGACAAGTCACAAGCAGACATTTGCTACTGATCTTAGTTTTTGAAATGATGAATTTGTGCTCACTGGCAAGAAATTGTGATCACAACTTTTTTCTCTGGGATGGAAAGAAATGGAATCCCCCCAGACCAAACAAGTGACCTCTATGTTGTCTTTATTCAATGATCATATAAAATTCACAATAAAATCACATCCTTGCCCATCCAAATCCTAATGAATACATTAAAGCATAAAAGCTTGGTGCCAAAGAAAATAATAAAATGTACATAGCTTTGCTATATATGTATATGTATATAGAATCATAGAATCATAGAATAATTAGGGTTGGAAAGGACCTTAAGATCATCTAGTTCCAACCCCCTTGCCGTGGACAGGGACACCTTACGCTAAATCATAACACCCAAGGCCTCATCCAACCTGGTCTTGAACACAGCCAGGGATGGAGCATTCACAACCTCCCTGGGTAGCCCATTCCAGTGCCTCACCACCCTAACAGGAAAGAATTTCTTCCTTATATCCAATCTAAACTTCCCCTGTTTAAGTTTTAAGCTGTTAGCCCTTGTCCTGTTGCTACAGTCCCTAATGAAGAGTCCCTTCCCAGCATCCCTATAGCCCCCCTTCAGATACTGGAAGGTTGCTATGAGGTCTCCATGCAGCCTTCTCTTCTCCAGGCTGAACAGCCCCAACTTCCTCAGCCTGTCTTCATACGGGAGGTGCTCCAGTCCCCTGATCATCCTCCTGGCCCTTCTCTGGACTTGTTCCAACAGTTCCATGTCCTTTTTATGTTGAGGACACCAGAACTGCACACAGTATTCCAGGTGAGGTCTCACTAGAGCAGAGCAGAGGGGCATTTTGCCAGCTCCTTCAGGACCCTCGGATGGATCTCATCAGGTCCCATGGACTTGTGCACATTCAGATTTTTAAGATGGTCTCAAACCAGTTCCTCTCCTACAGTGGGCCCAAGGTCTTCATTCTCACAGTCCCTGCATCTGCCTTCCAAGACTTGGGTGGTTTGGTCAGAGCCTTTGCCAGTGAAGACCGAGGCAAAGAAGTCATTCAGAACCTCAGCCTTCTCCAAATCCAGGGTAGCCAGTTCTCCCAAGAGCTTCCTGAGGGGGCCTGCATTCTCCCTAGTCTCTTTTTTATTTGCTATGTACTTGTAGAATCCCTTCCTGTTATCTTTAATACCTCTAGATAAGTTTAATTCTAACTGGGCCTTAGCTTTCCTAACCTAGTCCCTAGCTTCTCGGACAACATCTCTCTACTCTTCTCAGGACACCTTTCCTTGCTTCCACTTATTATAAGCCTCTTTTTTCATTTGAATTTTCCTCAGGAGCTCCTTATCCACCCAAGGAGGTCTCCTGGCCCTCCTGCTGCACTTCTGGTTGGGATGCAACACTCCTGAGCTTGTAGCAGGTGATCCTTGAATATCAAACAACAGTCTTTGGCCCCCCCTGCCCTCTAGGGCTGTATCCCATGGAACCTTACTAAGCAGGATCTTGAAGAGGCCAAAGTCTGCTCTTTTGAATTCCAGGGCAGTGAGCTTTCTGCACGCTCTTCTCAGTGTCCTGAGGATCTCAAATTCAACCACCTCGTGATCGCTGCATCCAAGGCTGCCCTGGAGCGTCACATTTCCAACGAGCCCTTCCCTGTTGGTGAGCAGAAGGTCAAGCATGGCACCTCTCCTTGTCGGCTCCTCTATTACTTGCAGAAGGAAGTTGTCTTCTACACAATCGAGGAACCTCCTGGATTGCTTGTGCCGGGCCATACCGTCCTTCCAACAGATGTCAGGGTGGTTGAAGTCACCCATGAGAACAAGGGCCTGCGAGCGTGAGGCTTTTCCTATCTGTCTATGGAGTGCTTCATCCCCAGGTTCTCCTTGATCAGGTGGTCTGTAACAGATCCCCACAGTAATGTCTCCCATAGCTATATTCCCTTTAACCCTGACCCACAAACTCTCTGTGGACTGCTCACCTGCTCCCCAGACAGAGTTCCATACTCTCCAGCCTATCCCTAACATAAAGGGCAACTCCCCCTGCCAGGCCTGTCTTTTCTAAAGAGCCTGTAACCTTCCATTCCAACACTCCAGTCATAGGAGCCATCCCACCATGTTTCTGTGATGCCTATTATATGATATCTATATCATACTATATTATATTATATATATCATATTATATCATACCCCCGTAAACATGCACACATCTCTAATTCCTGTATATATATAGCTGTGTATATATATATGTATATACTGGTGAAGATTTGGAGGGTTTATTTCCCTTGTTTATCTCCTAGAATGTATTAAAAGATTAATATTTTACTGTTCCCGAATCAGAAGATACTGTGGAGGACTGGAATAAACTCTAAATAAGGAGTCAGTCCCCAAAAGATGAATTCCAGAAATCATTAAGAATGCATAACTGTGTAGGAGGAATGCAAGTTTACAGAAACATGGAACCAATGTGTCCTGATGCAATCAGGATTGTTTTCTGCACTGGCTCACAGCTGACTTCCAATGCCATTTTAACATCTCAGTGCAGATCTCATACCCAGATCTTGGGTGTCTTCCCCTCTTAGGCAAGAACTGCATATATATGCATGCCTGAAAGGACTCCTTGGAAGCCCTAGAACCTACATTTGCTCTTTCTATCCTAGCAGGGTGTACCCTTAGTTCCTCCTGGATCACAGCTCAGCCCACGTGCATGTATCACTTTGTGCTCCTCTCCTGCTGCCAAGGGGACAGCACATCTCTAAGGTTTGCTGATTCTACCACATTCTCTGGCAATAGACAGCTTGAACAGTAAAACATATAGTTGGTTTGCTTACATGAAGACAAAGGATTGAAAACAAAAGGTTACAAATAAAGCAATTTTAGTGCTTTCTTTTGCATGCCTTCTCAATTGTTCCAACATATTTCATGGAGAATGCTGCTCTGGGGGTTAGCAGTGAGAGGTCTGGAAGTCCAGGTCTCTTGCGTATATTCTGTTATCTGAGTACTGAATAACTTTTCTCTGTTTTCCTGCTTAGATGTACTACACTGAGTTTCTCCTTGATTCACTGCAAATGGAGTATTGAAGGCTGGGAGAGAGGGAAGGTAAAAGGGTAATGGTCAGGAGGAGATATATTGTCTTTGCCATTTTCAGTTTTTCACTCTGCTCTCTGATACACCTGCTTTGCTGGATGCCTTTGTGTTTTAACTTATAATGCTATTTTTCATGCCTAAATTGTTGTGGGTAGTTTCTTCCAGTTTTGTTTTTTCTGTTTTTTTTTTAATTTACATTATTAAGATAATACTTGCTGAAACTTCTCCATAATATCTGTGCAGCTGATGATCTCCCATGCCATACTAATTTTCTAAACAGATTGCATAAAGGCATTTTAATGAACTTACTTAGAACAGACAGAGGAAGTTTACATTTGATACATCCATGTAAGTGGAAGCCACATGTCTTTTTCAGTATTTATTCTTGGGGTTCATGGTCTAAACCACTGTTTTCCCTTAGCTCCCTTGCTCTCATTTTCCAGAAGGGGAATATAATCAAATGATTATATTGGGTGATATTTGAAAAAATTGAGAAGCAGTTTAT